GCCGCAGCTCTCGCCCTGACGCCCGGGCCCCGCGCAAGCTGGCTCCGGTCGCCTTGCACCCTGTCCGCGCTTGCCAGCCCTCGAGCGGCCACCATGCTGCCACCCGCGCTCTCCCGCCTCGGGCTGCTACTGCTGCTCCTCTTGTACCCAGCGCACGTCGGCGGACTGTGGTGGTGAGTGAGCTCAGCGCTGTCGGGGCGCTTGAGGGCGAGACACTGGCGGTGGGGGCTCCGCTCGGCGTTCGTTGCTCCCGGCTCTACCTGCGCTCGGAAGACCTGCGCGCCGCTCCCCTCTAGGCGTGCCCCGGGCGCATCAGAACTGCCACTTAGATTTTTGAAACTGCAGTGCAGGGTCAGGGGGCTGACTATATGCTCAATCCTGGTGCGAGAGAACACTCAGGAGACCGGGGAAGACATGTAGTCAGAGATCAGAAGAAAGGAGTGTATGAGGAGGGCCCTGGAATTTGGGGAGGGGACTTGATTTGGGGAAAGAGACGAACTAGGTGAGGACACCACAAGGCAGGAAGGACAAACATCCGTTCCCTCCTCAGCCCACTAGCCTCTCTTAGGGCTTCTTTGGAGCAAGAGGTGATGGAGGGAAAGGGAACGCAAAGGGGAAACTGAGCCCGGAGCTTGGGTTTCTCTAGTCTACCTCCTCCTCCCTGAGCAAGGAAGAGGAGAAAAGGCAGGAAAGAGACGCAGGCTTCGGGTCCTTCCAGACGTGGGGACCATGAACTAAAAATGGGAAGTACGGGACCTGGGAAGGACGGGATGAAACCTGGGTGGAGACTGGTGGAAGGGAGGGAAGTTTGGCTAGTCAAAGGATGGGGGGCGTCTTTCCAGCGCGGGCCTGCGGACCTGGCCCTAGTCTTCCTGAGCAGATACCTAGGCAGCGAAAGTTGAGGGAGCAGAAAGCCTTCAGGCGGGGACGAGGTCGGGGAAGGTAGAAGCTGTGTTGGGATCTTGAAGCCCTCTCTCCGCCGCACCCCCTTCACACAAACACACACACACACACACACACACACCCCACACACACCCCTTCTGTGTCTTCTGAGCCGCGAAGACCCGCCCGGAATAGTTTAGAGTTTGGAGAGGAGGGACTAGGACAATAGAGCGAATGGATCAGCCAATCCTAATAAGGCAAGGTTTTGTTAATTTGCATATCGCGACGTCATTGGCTGTGCTCTGCATTCTCCACTCCTCCTCTGTCCCCTGGATTTTGAAGGTGGGTGGGGCAGGCCGACCCTCATCTCTAGGGAGATGAGGAGCAGGATGCCCACACAAGGAGCTGCTGGCTGAAGTCCCTTTTTCGTAATAGGGTACAAATCGAAGACAACCTCAGATCTCGGCTAGGAACCATACATTCTTTAATCCAGTTTGGCATAACATAATAACAGTTTTGCAATCAGACAGACCTGAGATGTAACCTTGAGCAAGTTCCTTCCCCTCTGTCTTAACTGCAAAATAGGAATAACAGTTTCCCTACCTAGCCGACTTCCTGGGAGAATCCGTTGGGATGACTTACAAAGTGATCTGATTAGGAAGTGCTCAATAGAGTCCTGGTGTGGTGCTGTAAGATCAGCACTGAACTGCTAACTGCAGGGTCGGCCATTCAAACCCACCAACCACTTCTTGGAAACCCTATGGAGGCTGCTATGAGTCACACGGACTTGACAGCACTTAACAGCAGTAAATGCAGGCCCCGTTTCCACACCTCAGGTACTCCTGCCTAGGATCCCCAGAGGTGAAAAGAGGGATTAATTAAAATGTGAAACCCCAAAACAAGACTTGTCAAGAGCTCTCTCTTCTCTCCTTCCTGTCTTTGCTCTTTCTCATGGGGGTTGCCTTCTTTCCCCTCCCTTTACATCTGTTCAAATTGTTTCCATTTTTCCAGTTCAAACACCACTTCTTCCAAGAAGCAGTCTCTCTCCTCCCTCTAGACTGACCTTCTCTGTGTTCCCATTGCATCATGAGTACCAGGCAATGATGCCTGCTACCAGCTCCTCTTGAGTCTCTCTACCCTGCTCCACTCAAGTGCCTGGAAGGCAGAGGCTTTGTCTTTAGGCTCCTGAGGCCCAAAGACAGAGTAGGCACTGGGGTAGCTTTGAAGAGTGTTGCTGAATGGGTTACTCACTTCTTTGGGGTTTTTACCCTTGGGGGTTCCTCTGTCTGGGGTGAGCTGCTGAGTAAGAGCCAAGCAGAGAGAGAGAGGCCTGGTCTTGGGAACTGACCCTGAAGCTGGAAAGCAGAGAGTGGGGGAGGAAATGAGGAGGGCAGGTGTGGGAGAACACAGGGGCCTTCATGGCCACAGCTGCAGGGGGAGCCTGGTGAAGAGTGAGGGGCTGGGGTGATAAGGTGTCTGCCCTCAGAGAGAACCTGCCTTTCCTGCCCCTGCCCGCCTGCCCGCCTGGCCCCCCTCATTCTCCTCTATCTCTGATGCTTCATTCCTTTGGTCCCAGCTCAGACTCCTTTTCAGGATGTGTGACTCTGCTTACACTCCTGTCTTCACCTCACCCCTCCTGCCACTGCCGCTCCCCAACCCCACTTCGGCTAGGAGTTTTCAGGCCTAGGGCCTACAGGATATTCCCTGATGTCTAGGACCTGCTTGCTGGCCCTTTCAGGGAATGGGGCCAGAGCTGGAGCTCCAGTGGTGACCAGGAAAAGAGTTGGAACGGCAGCAAACTAGTGTAACACAGTCGGAAATTCTAGCACCACGCAGGTTGGGACCAGAAAGAACCCTAGGACCTCTGGGTGGCTCAGTTGTTCTGGTTAGCATGGGCTGGTGCTGAAGGCCCAGGCCTTGGAATTAGCTCAGGGACCTGGATCCAGGTTCCAGGGAAGTTTCCTTCCACCTTCTTACTCCCTCTCATTCCTTCTCCAAATTCTTGCTCTCTAAACTCTGCCTCCGGCCTCTCTGTCTCTCTCCCATCTGTAACCATATCTTTGTGAATCTCAGTTTCTAGGACATTGGCCAGGCCCTCTTGAGGTTATTTTGTCCAGCCCACTGCCTCCAGGCCATCTAGCCTATTATCCTCTGGACCTGACAGACCCCTTTTAAGTGTGAGGCAGAGAGAGAGGCTATAGCTTCCTGGTCATCAACTCCTGTCCCCCTACCCCCCAGGAAGTTCTTCTCAATGTCTGCCCCATCTTTATTTATACCTTCAATCAGTAGTAGGTGTAGAAAATAGCTCACTCTCCCAGAATAGCCAAATCAATCTCCCTTCTCTCTTCCTCTTTCTGTTTTATATTTTCAGTGAAAGAAATGAACCCTCCCCTTGTTCCACTAGGAAAAACATAGTCCAGTCTTGCTCCTCACACTCCCTTCCCCTCTTCCATCTAGCATTGTACACACACACACACACACACACACCCTCAGTTATGAAGAAGAAACAGGCTCAGAAGCTTAGGACAGCCTCATCTCTGGCCCCACAGGGAGGTAGGAAAGGACCCAACTGCTGCCTCTCTCCCTCATCCCAGGCTAGGCCTGGCCACTCTTTCCTATACTGTCTTCCTCTGGGGCCCCTAGCGCTCCTCTAACAGTCCTGTTGCTGGCCCCCGCTGAGCTCAGGGTGGGGTGCAGTGGGGTGGGGGTGTGGTGGTTGTCCAGTCCCCCTTCCAGGCCTCCAGCCTTGGCAGCTTCCCCTGGAGGGAGACAATGGAGCTGTGAGCAGAAAAGGGCAGGGGCAAAGGAGTCTGGCTCAATATGGCCCAGAGCATGCCCGGAGCTCACCCGAGTCCTGGCACTGTGTCATTTCCTGGGGGGTGCAGCCCCCTCCTGCCCCATTCTCATCAGAAATCAGGAATTGGGGGAAGGGCAGTGGGAGGTTTGATCACCAGGGCCTATTGAGGGAGATTCCAGAACATGCACTTTGATGGGGGAAATGAAGCTGCGCAGGACAAGAGGCGAGGGCGGTGCCGGCAGCTGGCCGGCACTCGGTCAGCTCCCCCCACCCCCCGCCTCCCCGCAACCACCAGCCCATTAACCGCAAGCAAAAGAGCAGAAGGTACCAGGGTAACACGAAGTCTGTCGTCTGCCTACTGAGAAGAGCGCCCTCTAGCTGCGCTCTCCTTCCTGCCTGGAACTGGGCGCAACATTGGGTGCCTCCCCTGAACTCTCGGAGGGAGGAGCTGATGGAAAGGTCGCAGGGAGGGTTCTTCTCTTCTCCACCTGGCCTCTTTGGCTGCTTCCTCCAGCACCGAGCCCTTGGTTTAGTCTAGAAATTAGACCTAGAAGAGATCATCTGATCCAATCTTCTCACTATATGATGAGGGCACCAAGGCCCAGGGACAGGAGGTGACTTGTCCAAGGCCACCCAGAATGCTGGATGTAGAGTGTGTAGGGGAATGTGTGTGTGGCCGATCAGGAAAGAGGCATGGGGTCCTCCATAGGCCCCTTCAACCGTCTTTGCTTCCTTCAGCGAGGTGTGTATGTGGGGGATTTCCAAACACCCACTATGGGAGAGCGTTAGGCACAGGTTCATCTCCCAAAGGGTCCAGCAGAAAGTCAGGCTGCCTTGCCTTTGCCTCCCACAGTCCTAGCCAATAGGGAGGTGTTTGGTGATGTCTGTCAGGAAGGGGAAGCCCCGCCTCTCAAGAGCGAGGAGGAGAGAATGTGCGGGAGATAGGGAGGGCAGTGCTTCGGACAGGGCAAAGGG